TGCCCCTCTTGTGTAGAGCCCATTATTGATATGAAGAAATGGCTTTTAGGACCACACACCTAACAATTTCAACCATGGAACAACCTCAATCTTATCCATCCAAGCTCCAATATTCAAATTCGAGTTTACAACGCTCGAGTAAAACAGAGGTTGATGATTTAAGGCTACATCTGTAACGACCCATGTCCAGGATGTGGGTCAAGATTCAAAATCTAGATTCATCACCTGATGACTCGACATTATCCTCACAGACTAACGCGAGTCATTCCAACATGTTTTGTCCTCACTTACATGAAAGTTCCTAGGAGATCATCCAACATAGTATTGCTCAAAATATATGATTGAGCCACTGAAAAGAAAGGTGCACCTCTTCATTCGGATGTGGTCTTGATTCATTCATATACCCCTCATTTACTCGAATGTAACGGCCCAGACCCACCACCGCTAGTAGATATTATCCTCTTTGGACTTCTCCTCAAGGCTTTTAAAACGCGCTTGCTAAGGAAAGGTTTACATACCCTTATAAAGAGTGTTTCGTTCTCCTCCCCGACCAATGTGGGATATCACACAAAACATGTTAAAAGAACTTGTATTAGCTCGTGAGGATAGTTTTCACTTTAAGCATGAAAACAACCCACATGCCTCGACTTTTTTAGAACAGGCCCGAGTCAAATAGTAATGATATCTTTTAAACATAGAGTTGGAATATTCCACGGCATAATATTCGATAGTAGGTAAGTGAAAATAATGAACGTGGTAAATGTAAGAAATGAGAGGAATATTCTAGAAATTCAATTTTCCTTTAGCTTTATTGAACATATGGCCATGGAATAGAGATAAAGAAATGGTGGGTCACTTTGCCTTCATGTTCTTTCACAATCACCACAAAGAAGTCATTGAGCAGCATAGCCACAAACTTGGCTTATCCAAAGGCTTAGAAACCACATGAAATATCATTTAAGAAAATTGCTTTGTCTTTATATATTCTCTATAATTATTTAGGTTGGTGACAAACATGTCTCGAGCACCAATCCGACTTTCTTGGAGGAGATAGAACTTTTTGAAAACGAAATTATAAAAGTTTAAAGTAAACAAATCACTAGTGAGTCTCATTTTGGGAGTAATCTATTCTAACACTTGAGCCCAACGAGAAATCAAAAACTCGATTTTTCTTTTTAAATCGAACTTTCAAAACTATATTGAGAATCTTAAATGTTGAATTTACAGATGAGATAGAAGAGAAAAATACTTACATAAATCCGAGAATTTAAGAAAAATATATGAGAAAATCGGTCAAAGTCAACTCTTAGGGGTAAATTGGTCATTTTGACCATCATTTCTTAATTAGAGGTCTTGATTAGCCATCATCAGATTGATAAGAATGGAAGAAAAAAAGAAGACGAGAGTGACCGAGAGAGAAAGTAGAAATCCACTCCAAACGACTGTTTGGAGTCGAAATTTCGCTGAATTTCATCCACAAGGATTGTTAGGTGCATGAGTGTTACTATAGTCTGAATTTCATGCTCGAGTCGATTTCCTTGAGTCTCGTGCTCGATGGAGCAAGCTACGTGCATGGGTGTTGCTGTAATCTGAATCTCGAGTCGTCGTTTTTATAATTAGCACCAAATTCGTGATTGGAATAGGTTTCTTTGCCACTAAATTTGAAAGGTAAGTGAAGAGATATAGTTACAACAAAGGCACTACTCTCTATGTAGAAATGGATGTGTGACAAAGGGAAAGTTATGGTTGAGGGCTTTTACCCATAATGAGAACCAACCCTTCTTATCAATTCAACCAATCCCAAAGCTCATAATGGATGGTCGGCTTATTGGATATTCCAAGGTTCATGGAATGAACCGATAATCTTATCTATTGAGTTATGCTTGAATTAACATTGTACGAACCAATTTATTCTTTGGGTCGGTATATAAGAGTCAATCAAATATTGATTGAGAAGGCAGCTCAACCGCTTCTCTCCCTACCCGCCTTCCTACTTGTACTCGTAGTTTGGTCGTAGGCGATCCTCTCTTCTCTACAAAACATGTTCTCGATCCTCTCTTCTCTTGTTCATTATCTTTTAAGATTTTATGTTTCGTACCACGACGACACTAGCAAAGTGTAGTAGAATGTAAGAAAAAAGGAATTGGATTGAGTTTTGTTTCCTAAGGAGTGACAAGAACGCTCCATGAGTTCAAATTTTTAAGATTCATACTACCCATGTTGTAAACGACATGTTATATGTTAATTTTTTATGTAGGGTTATAGATTTTGTGGAATGGTATATCAGTTTTAGTTCAACGTCTGAAAATGGGGGGATTCGAGTCTCTAACCATCGGTTTATGTTTAGATTGACAAGTACATTTTCATGACATCCCATGCAAAATGAAAGGCCCTCGCTCAACGGATAAAAGTGACTAACGGGATATTAATAAAGAGGCCGTAGCAAGGAAACTTTAACAGACCCGTTAGAGTCAAGCCTCAACTTTCATAATGTGAGCTTCCTTCTCCTCTCAGCTTGATAACTCCTATCTACATCAAGATCTGGCCCTGCAGTGATCTTCGCCCATTCCGTGGCACCCGCACGAAAAGAAAGATCGGCAAATAGCGTACCAATCAGATCCGCCTCTCTAATTCACTTGGAAAAAGACAGACCAAGCAGACAGTTGAGTTCGCAGCTACAGGCGCAACAGGCCAATGAACATCGAGAGTCACCCTATGAAGTAAGGAAAAGAGAAAGAGGAAGGGAAGCGAAGGAGCGAGGAAGGAATTGAATATGCGAGAGAGACTGTAAAGGGAAAGGTATCTCCACATTTCGAACCGATAGCGAGAGGGAGTAAGTAGCTCGAGGAAAAGAAGATAGGTTCAGGCAATGAAATTGTTCAACCGAACACCTAGGAAAAACAGGTCTTATGCAGATAATGTGAACCATAAAACACGAGCACTTGGGATGCATGTGCCCCTAAAAAACCATGAAGCCACCCATTAATAGTAATGGAACACTGCACAAAATTTTCTCCCGTAATACGAGTTACTACCCTTTGATCATTTACACTACCTTAAACTTCTTAATACATTTTCCGACTTATATAGAATATTACAACTGAAATTGAATTGAATATCCAAAATAGTCTTGAGAAGACATGATTCGAAATGAATATTAATTAAAGATGAGCTGAAACATATATTCTCGACCAAGTAGCGATAAATTTGATATATATATATATATATATATATATATATATATATCGAGTCAAGGAAGCCAAATTATCTAATTTGTTCATGTAACACGATAAATTCAAGTTCTTACGCATGAAACATGTGTTCTATGTATTTCTCATCTCAGTCGTTTTTAATTAAAATTTTAATATAATTTAAGGTTATTTGTTTAATAATTTTGTTTTCGTTATTTTTCCTCCAAAATCAAAATAACATTAAAAATTTTGGACTATTGGATATTAATGTAATTTTTTAAAATTTAAATATATTTTTTAAAAATAATGGTAAGCACAAAATACGTATTTTTATTAATTTGGACAATTAAAAAAATTAAATATTTATATTTATATTTATTAAAAACCCAAAAAAAAAAAGAAAAAAAAAGCAAATATGTATTTATTTTAGTGTTTTTTAAATTAAGAAAAAAAAAACATCTCATTTGCCATAAAAAGACAGTGAACAGTAAAAACAGTTAAACGTTCACATGGCGAAAGAGAAGCCACTCCCTGGTTTGGGACTTACAGAATCAAAAGCGTGGTTCTTTTTCTTCCTCCTATTTAATCCACCAAAACCCATCTCCCAAATTCATCCACGTACTCCCCTGTTTTCATCTCTTCAATTTCTTCTTCTCTCTAAAGAATCTCCCCCAAATTCCCCAATCCCCGTTTCTTTTCTCATCATTTTCCATGGCGGGTAATGGAGTTTTTGCAGAGATTCTCGACGGTGAAGTTTACAAATACTATTCCGAAGGTGAGTGGAAGAAATCCTCCTCCGGGAAGAGCGTCGCCATTATCAACCCCACTTCGAGGAAGACGCAGTACAGAGTTCAAGGTATGATGACTAATCCCATTTCTCCATGGAATTCTGTTTCTTCTCAATGAATTATGAGATTATGTTGCTGAATGTATGAGAAATTTTTTGAAATTAATGTTGTGGGTTGGTAGAAATGTTAGTGAATTATGTTTGTTTAAAGGGTTATTCATGCCTATGAGGTGTTTGTTAAAATAGCTTGTAACCAAGAGGAGGTTAATCAAGTGATGGAAATAGCCAAAACTGCTCAGAAATCATGGGCTAAGACTCCATTGTGGAAGAGAGCTGAGCTTCTTCATAAAGCAGCTGCAATTTTGAAAGAACATAAAGCACCCATTGCTGAGTGTTTGGTGAAGGAAATTGCAAAACCAGCTAAAGATGCAGTGACTGAGGTACTACTGAGTTACTGCTGTTCTTGTTGGATTGTTAGCTCTTGAAATGTGAAGTGATAATGGTTTGAATGATGTGAAGGTTGTGAGGTCTGGGGATCTTGTTTCATATTGTGCTGAAGAAGGTGTTAGGCTCTTGGGAGAAGGGAAGTTCTTGGTTTCTGATAGTTTTCCTGGAAATGAAAGGACCAAATATTGCCTTACTTCCAAGGTACATGTTCTGTTCTTCTTTGTTCTTATGGGACAAAACTACTTTTAGATTATAAAGCACAATTTCATGTTCCTAATCTGTTTTATGCTTCACTTTTGAACATGAAATATTCAGATCCCACTTGGTGTGATCTTAGCCATTCCTCCATTTAACTATCCTGTCAATCTGGCTGTCTCGAAAATTGCACCGGCTTTGATTGCTGGAAATTCGATCGTCCTCAAGCCTCCAACTCAGGTACTCTAATACTAAATTAGCTCATCATTCTCTCTTTAATACAATCTCCATTGATGAACAATGAATCAAATAACTCGACGCGCTTGCAACTGACTGTAAATTCCTTTTCTGTTTCATTTAACTCGGTTCTGTCGAGTGGATCATGAATTCAGAATCAACTAAAACAGAACAGATATTAGCATCATGTAGAGACTGTGCAATTTGTTTGTCATCTGTATAATGCTCTTACCATACTCAGGGTGCTGTTTCCGCTCTTCATATGGTGCATTGCTTCCATCTTGCTGGTTTTCCTAAAGGCCTTATTAGTTGTGTCACTGGTAAAGGTTCTGAGATTGGTGATTTCCTCACGATGCATCCCGGTGTAGACTGTATAAGGTAAACATACCACTACTTCATTTCCATGTGATGATGATTTACGATTTCTCCCATTCGCATGACTCTGTTTTTGTAACGGCTCAAGCCCACCGATAGCATATATTGTCCTCTTTGAGTTTTTCCTTTCGGGTTTCCCCTCAAGGTTTTTAAAACGTGTCTACTAGGAAGAGGTTTCCACACTCTTATAAAGATGCTTTGCTCTCCCCAACCGACGTGGGATCTCACAGTTTTGTACTGCTTCTCTGTGCAGCTTTACTGGTGGAGATACTGGTATTGCGATTTCAAAGAAGGCAGGCATGATACCTCTTCAAATGGAACTAGGAGGCAAAGACGCCTGCATTGTTCTCGAGGATGCAGATCTCGATTTAGTCGCTGCAAACATCATAAAGGGAGGCTTTTCTTACAGGTGAGATTGTTAGGAATCACGAATCTTCATAATGGTATGATATTGTCCACTTTGAGCATAATCTCTCATGACTTTGCTTTTGGTTTTCCCAAAAGGCTTCATACCAATGGAAATGTATTCCTTACTTATAAACCCACGATCAATCCCTTAATTAGTTGATGTGGGGCTCCTCTCCCAACAATCCTCAACAGAGAACAGACCCCACATGGGTAAAGAAGATGACTTTTCTTTAACATGAATGAAAATCTAAACCGCTTGGCTGATTTATTAGAAAGAAGATAACTTGTTCTTGTTCTTCATCCTTAGAACAGAGTAGGTTGTCTTCAGTGAAATGGACTTGATCTTCTTCCTACCAAAATCATAACCACATTGGAACATTTATATTTCAGGCATCAACTAAGCTCCTTATACTTCTTTTCTTTTTGATGACAGTGGCCAAAGGTGCACCGCCGTCAAGGTTGTTTTGGTAATGGAGTCCGTAGCAGATGCTTTGGTTGAGAAAGTAAATGCCCGGGTGGCTAAACTAACTGTCGGTGCCCCGGAAGACGACTCAGACATTACTCCAGTCGTGACCGAGTCGTCGGCAAATTTCATCGAAGGGTTGGTATTGGATGCAAAGGAAAAGGGAGCAACATTTTGCCAAGAGTACAGAAGAGAAGGCAACCTGATATGGCCCTTGTTATTAGATAATATTAGACCTGATATGAGGATTGCATGGGAAGAACCCTTTGGACCAGTTTTACCGGTCATAAGAATCAGCTCCATTGAAGAAGGAATCCACCATTGCAATGCTAGCAACTTTGGACTTCAGGTATGAAAACAACTCTCTCTGTAACGGCCCAGATCCACTGCTAGCAGATATTATCTTTTTTGAGATTTCTCTTTCGGGTTTCTCCTCAAGGCTTTAAAACGCGTCAGCTAGGGGAAGGTTTCCACACTCTTATAAAGGGTGATTTGTTCTCCTCCCCAACCAACGTGGGACATCACAATCCACCCCCCTTCGGGGCTCAGCATCCTCGCTGGCACCCTTTCCTTCCTCCAATCGATGTGGGACCACCCCCAAATCCACCCCCCTTTGGGGCCAGCGTCCTTACTGGCACACCGTCTCGTGTCTACCCTCCTTCGGGGAACAGCGAGAAGGCTGGCACATCGTTCGGTGTCTGGCTTTGATACCATTTGTAACAGCCCAGATCCACCGCTAACAGATATTGTCCTCTTTGGGCTTTCCCTTTCGGGCTTCCCCTCAAGGCTTTAAAATGCCTAGGGAAGGTTTCCACACACTTATAAAAGGTGGTTTGTTCTCCTCCCCAACCAATGTGGGACATCACACACTCTCTTAGCCTAGTTGTTCCAAAACTTCGTCATTTCAAAAACGGTTAAAAACGTGTCTGATAATTATTCTTGTAGTGTGTTCTAACTAGAACCGTCAATTTGAGTATGAGTAACATGTTCAAAAACAGGGATGTGTCTTCACAAAAGACATCAACAAGGCGATATTGATAAGCGACGCAATGGAAACCGGGACAGTTCAAATCAACTCTGCGCCCGCTCGAGGACCCGATCATTTCCCATTCCAGGTATAGTTAATATCTACATCCCCAGCATTACGTCGAAACGAATATCGCGTTTACGAACCAGGGTATGTGGAACAGGGAATCAAGGACAGTGGAATTGGCTCTCAAGGAGTGACCAACAGCATCAACATGATGACCAAAGTGAAGACCACAGTGATCAACTTGCCAACGCCTTCCTACACCATGGGTTAGTTTGTTTGTCTGTTAGCTTTTAGGAGCCTGCTAGCTAGCTCGCTATCTGCCATAGCCTTAAGCTAAGTAGTGTTGAAAATGAAATTTATGCTATCTTCTTAAAGTAGTTCTTCCCTTATCTTCCCCTTTGTGTAATGAAATTAATAGCAAGTAGCTGAGTTGTATGCATGTTAATTATTGCCATTTGATTGGCTCCCTTTGTGTGCTTGTTGTTAGGAACCAAGTCTGTTAGTATGAGAGCCATAGGGTCCAAATTGTGAGTGGATTTCAGAGTGGGCAGAAAACAGTGCTACAAATACGAAAAGCCCGAAGATGTTCACGTTCGTATCTTTAAAAGTGTCTAATAAGTCTCTAATCTTTTAATTTTGAGTCTAATAAATTCATGAACTTTCAATTTTGTATCTAATATATCTATGATAAATTCAATTTGTAAATTTGAATTTTATGTCTAGCGCACCCTTGAAATCTTGATTTTGTGTCTAGTAGATTCTAGAATTTAAAAAAATTTGAAAAACGAGGATTAAATTTATGATTTTGAAAGTTCAATGACCATTGACTCAAATCTCAAAAGTTTAGAGGCTAAACGTGTGAGGTCCCATATCGGTTGGAGAGGGGTACGAAACACTTCTTATAAGTTCAGGGGTTAAATCTGTAAGGTCCCACATCGATTGGAGAGGGGTACGAAACACTTCTTATAAGTTCAGGGGTTAAACCTGTGAGGTTCCCACATTGATGGGAGAGGAGAACAAAACATTTCTTATAAATGTGTGGAAAGTTCTCTCTCCCTAGTAGTAGATGTGTTTTAAAATCGTGAGGCTAATGACGATACGTAACGGGCCTAAGTGGACAACATCTGCTAGTAGTGGGCTTGGACTGTTACAATGGTATTAGAGTCAGACACTGAGCGGTGTACCAACGAGTACGTTGAGCCTTAAAGGAGTGGATTATGAGGTCTCACATCGATTGAAGAGAGAACGAAACATTTCTTATAAAGGTGTGGAAGCTTCTCTCTAGTATACGCGTTCTAAAACTGTGAACCTAATGATAATACGTAACGGGATAGACAATATCTGCTAGCGTTAGACTTGAGCTATTACAATGGTATCAAAGTCAGACACTGAGCGGTGTGCCAATGTGAAACAAAGGTGGTGCGAAAATTTTTCTCTAGTAGACACGTTCTAAAACAATGAACTTGACAGCAATACGTAATGGGCCAAACCAGACAATATCTACTAACAATGAGCTTGAATTGTTACAAAACCAATACTAATAGTCTTTATATTTAAGAATGCTCGATGAAGTAATGAGTCACGATACATTATTTAAATAATAAGTTGGATGTGATTTTCCCCTTCAAAGTCAAACTCAATATTTTAAAGTAAAAAATCATTTGTTTTTTAATTAATTTTTTCTACCCAATAAGATCTCTTGTTGAAATTCAAAAATTATTATTATTTTTAATTTGGTTGTTCTTTTGATAGCAAATGACATTATGTCCTAAGCCAACCAATTTTGTATCCAATTTGGCCAACAGCTCATTCCCATTCAATTTCATTATGATCTTAATCCAAATCAAATTCGCTCGTATCCGCTTTTGAAATTCATCGACCTAGTTTGAAAATCTACGTAAATATCATGATGAAAAGAATTACAATACCAGCTCGAGTTTTACTTTTAGCGCTGTTGAGTTATGTCTTATTTCTCCACCGACACCAAATAATATTTCTCGAAAATATTTAGAATTTTAAAATTTATTCAACGATGAATGACCGAAGAATATGGAAGCTGACAATAACGTGAAATATAGTACGTTCATTGTATCTGCTTCTTCACGTTAAGATTTTTGGCTCTTCTGTTTTTACTCCTAAGATATATCGAAAAAAATCATTATCATATATTCCCACGACGTTTATTTTATTATACATTAATGATATGTCATTAAAAAAATTATGGCATCTTTTCATCATTCGTTTCATCTAAAATTTGTAAACTCTTGATTATATACGATAAGATATGATATTAAAAAATAAATTTTTTTTCTTATTATTAAAAAAACATATCATTATGTACAAATATATTAAAGATGTTTATATGATTTGATGATTCGATTTATCTAACCCAAATCATTATTCAGTTCAGTTTGCATGTCAAAATTTTTTTGATCGGGTCAACCTAATCAACTCGAAAAATAGGATTTACAATCCAACTTAACCTGATCTACCCCGCTTCTAAAAAGATTAAGACTATTTAATGTTTGTTATTGATTTGAGGCGTTGTGACTTGTAAATATTTGATATTTAAATTTTATAAGATTTTAGTTATTAATGTAACATATATTACCGAGAAATATGATTTTTTGAAATAATTAAAAAAAAAAAAAACAACTCAACCCTTTAGGTGGGATTGGATTCTAAATTCTATTCAGGTCGCTCGGGTCACCAACCTTAATATAGCCTAATCCATGTGAGGGGACCCAGCGTTCTCATTAGCACGTCGCTTGGTGTTTGACTCTGATACCATTTGTAATAGTCCATCGCTAGCGGATATGACCGAAAGAGAAACATATTTATTCAAATTTGATTTATTTGCTCGTATTGAAAAACTCATTAAATTAAATTAAAGAGATTACAAATAATTAAAGAATCCCAATTTCAAAACTTTAAAATAATATTCATCTGTCACATATAAAATTGTTTTAGATAATTCGATCACAGATATAGAGACAAATAATAAAAAAGTATATTTAAAAATTTAATTAATAATCACGTACATGCATCAAAATGAGAATTAAATATTTTAATAAAATAATGTTTTTGTAAAAATGAAAATTTGTTAAATGGGAATTTCATAATTCAAATTTAAAATTTATTTTTCTTTATTTTTGTTAATTAAATTTTTTTTATTATTTGAAAATTTGACGCTCCTGAATTTAGTTTACCAAACGGCCCCTCCGAGATTTGTGTTCAAATTAGCGGGAAAAAAAAAACAATTAAATAAAAATAATGTAAAAGAAAAATGAAGTTCGTGGGGACTATTTTTAGGCTAAGTCTCTTTCACCTCCACTCGCTTCCATAAGTATTTTTCACTCACGCGCTCAAAATTTATTTCATTTAATTATTCTTATTATTGATATAAAATTTATTTCATAAGGCCAGATTGTCATCCAGTACAATATGGGTGAACTTCAGTCGGGTAGAGAAATTTTTTTACACTAATCCAAAAGCTCGAGTTAGTTGAATTGGTAATCCACCCCAACCTAACCCAACCTTATATGTTTGAGATGGATCGGGTTGAGTTGTCGGGTTCATTTTGTTTCAATTTTTTTAAAAACTTTAAAATGATGATGACAACTGTTATTGCAAACTCATGACAAACAACGGGACGACTAGATAGAAGTGACTAGCCTGCAAGCAGCTACGACTTGACTACCTGCTTGTTGTTGCAAGTGAGTTTGTCTGTTTTAGAAACTGAAGGTAGCCGAAAAGAGATGGATTGAGATTGTGTGAAATGGACACGACAATCAGACAATAAAACAACCTTAATTTTTTTTAATATATATTTTTTTTTGTTCGAGTTGCGTCATTAAATTATTATTTTATTAGGATAAATAAATATTTATTAATTCTTTAGCTTTTTATTAACAAAATTTTATAGATTTTTTTACATAAATTATTTAAAATTTTAAAAATTAAGAACTAAAAAAAATAACCATATTATATTATTTAGTTAAAATACATTATTTTTGGTAAATACATATGATAAGAGAAAGTGAAACTCACGCGCTTTTTTTTTAATGACAAAATTGTCATCATCTTCATTCTATAAAACCTCAGTAACTTCATTCTTTTAATGGCTCCTCTCTCCTCTGTTTATTTCTCGCCGGACTGATATGAGACTCACCAACTCCCTCCCCGATCGCCATAGCAACCGCCGCAACCGGCCGCCAGAGACCGATACCTCTCAACATCACCACCACCAAAACCACCTTCAAACCTCTCATCTCCATCTCTCTTCCTTCTCCTCCGACGATTTCCTCGACCAAATCCTCTCCTCCATCCCCCTTCCCTGGGAACTCCCTACCGGTCTTCCAAATCCACACTCAAACCTCCCTCCTCAGCCACCGCCACTCTCGCAAAATCCCGACAATGCCGCTTTTCAGATCGGCGACACCACTCCAGCCGCCAAAATAGCCATGGCCATGCTTCACCAGCAGTTACTCACCACCGCGGCAGATTCCAGTCTCCTTACATTGCCTGGAAACGACGTCGTTGAAGTCGAAGGCTCTCCGTCCTTCAAATGCCCTAATCCGGTACTCAAAATCGAGCATCTAATCGCTAATCATTCGATTCGAAAATAGGTTACGAAATACTCCCAAACCATTTCGATTCCTGTAAATTATTTGCGTAATCCTGCAGATTATTGCCGACGGTTCCGTCAATCCGTCTCTCTTCAACGAATTCACCGGATTCCTCAACGCCTCCGGCTCCAGCCATAGCCATAACCTGAATCAATCTCAGGCAATAAGTAGTTCGATTCGACCGTACACTTCTTCAAACTCATAACCTCGCTCTGCCCTAAAATTTCATTTCATCAATACACAGGGAAATTCAACTTCAACTTCACAGAAACAGAGCTTCGGAGCTCCAGTATCAGCCAATACTCCACCTCCGGTAGGGACTGGTTCCGGCGGTGGTGCTAGCGCAGCGGCGCAGCCGCGACAGAGAGTCAGAGCTCGGCGAGGTCAAGCCACGGATCCTCACAGTATTGCGGAAAGAGTAATTAATTAAGTTTAATAAATTAATTAACGCTAATTAACTTCCTCTATTTATTTTAATTTTTTTAATTATTTTGTAACAGTTACGGAGAGAGCGAATTGCAGAGAGAATGAAAGCTCTACAAGAACTGGTTCCCAACGCTAACAAGGTCTGTTTCGTCATTTTCTATCTCTTACACGTGTCAACATCACATTCGCTTTGTTATTTATCCAACGGTTTTAATTCTGCCACGTTTACTTTCTATTTTTATTTTATTTTTTAATACCTTGTATTCGGGGCCGGAGACCACTCTTACATGGCGGGATTTGCAGCTTTAAATTTTATATACTTTTAGTATTATTATTGACTAAGATATATTTGTTATTGAATTTCTAGATAAAATATTATAAGGGATCAAAATTTTAGAATAAGCTTTAATTACAAAACTTATGCGTTTTTAGATAAGAAAAGTAATGAGCTGTTGAATATGTTTTCTTTTTCAAGTTTGACATAGGATCTCGAACACTTTAAGAACATATACATATGTCTGCCGAACACTTCCTCTAAAACATATACATATGCCTTCTTGAGCTAGATTCAAGTTTGTTTATTATCAATTTTATGCTAGATCAAACCATATTTGGTCTATTTCTCATTTTCTATTTCAAAATTTTAGTAATAGTTTATAGAATGTGAGATCTCACCTTTGTCGGAGAGAAGAAAGAAAGCATTCTTTACAAGGGTGTGGAAACCTCTCTAGTAGACATGTTTTAAAATTCAGATGACGATAAGTAACTGGCCAAACTAACAATATTTGTTGGCGGTAGGTTTGGGTCGTTACAAATGGTATCAAAGTTAGACATCAGGCAGAGTGTCCTTGGGACCCCAAGGGGGTGGATACATCGGGCAGTGTGCTTGTGAGATTGCACATCGGTTGGAGAGGGGTACGAATCATTTCTTAGAAGGGTGTGGGACCCTAAGGGGGTGATTGTGAGATCCCACATCGGTTGGAGAAGGGAACGAAACATTTCTTATAAGGGTGTGGGACTCCAAGGGGATGGATTGTAAGATCCCACATCGGTTGGAGAGGGAAACGAAGGATTCCTTATAAGGGTGTGGGACTCCAAGGGGGTAGATTGTGAAATCCCACATCGGTTGTAGAAGGGAACGAAGTATTCTCATAAGGATGTAGAAACCTCTCTCTAACTAAGCGTTTTAAAACCGTGAGGTTGACGTCGATACATAACAAGTCAGCCAACAATACTAATGTGAGTTTGGGCTCTTACAAGAAAGATACATACATACTAATGTGTAGCTGAATAATATTTTGGACATGACTCTAATATCAGTCATTAGGGACAATTAAACTCTATCCGGGTTTGTCTATTTTAAACATAAGTGTGCTTATAGTTTTTCCATGAAAATAGTGTACCTCACTTATATATTCACTCGGATATTTGATGGTACGAATAAAACCGTTGAACCGTTGAGCTATATTAATGCTAAGTTTGGCTGATTTTTGTTGCTTGAAATGGATTTTGGAATGACAGACAGACAAGGCGTCAATGCTGGATGAGATCATAGACTACGTGAAGTTCCTCCAGCTTCAAGTCAAAGTAATCTGTCTCACTACAGTTGGAAGACAAACATAAATAGAATGAATTTTACTGATTTTCTTTGCTGGGTGTGTGGTTGTAGGTTCTGAGTATGAGCAGGCTGGGCGGCGCCACTGCCTCCATGCCGTCCCAGCTTGTTGCCGACATGTCCTCCCACTCTGAGGTACTACCAAATCTTCACTTTTTCAACTAATTTCTTTGTCATGAAAAGGATATGATCCATTATATTTTTTGGATTTGGAATCATTATTAGTTTATGATTCGTATCATGAGATTTCATGATCATGTTTTGTTGCTCTGGAAGATTCATGATTTTACCCACCTTATAGTTCATAATGATGCCTAAGATTTCATGGAATATACGTATTTAATCTGAATTTAGGTAATATTTGAGAAAGTGGACGTTCTCTATTTATGGTCAAATAAATTAAAGTGTATGATGAAAGTTCTCCTAATTTAGGGAATAATCATGTATTTATAATCCAAGAATACTCTCTCCATTGGTAAGGAATATTCTCTCTATTGGTATTGATAAAGCCTTTTGTAAAAGCCTAAAGCAAAGTCATGAGAACTTATGCTTAAAATATATAATATCATATCATTGTGGCAAGTCGTGTTCATCTAAGAACAAGGATATGGAAAGAGTAATAAATAAAAAGATACATAGGTGTAAATGGAAGTTACATTTGATACATTTGTTATGCAAATATGATGGTAAATATCAAATATATCTTTTATATATATAAATTATAATTTAGTGCAAAGTATCTTTAACAATATTTTCTCGTCTATGTAGGGTGAGATTGACGGTAACCAGTCCAACGGAACCGGAGGAGCTGCCGGACAGGCGTTCGCCGGAGCTCCGGCATTTAATGAAACGATGGCGGTGACAGAGCATCAGGTGGTGAAGTTAATGGAGAAAGACATGGGCTCCGCCATGCAGTACTTACAAGGCAAAGGCCTTTGTCTCATGCCCATCTCTCTAGCCACCGCTATCTCCACCGCCACATGTCACAACCGCCCTGTTACAGCCTCCAGAGGCGGCGGAGATCGCCCCACCTCAGCCAGCCTGTCGGCGTTGACCGTTCAGTCAACCACCTTGGGTAACGGCACCGTCAAAGATAAGGCCTCTATTTCTCGGCCGTGAGATGACGGTGTTAACGAAATGTCAACCAAAATTTTAAATTACAAATTTAGTCCCCATATTTAAGAAAAAAAGTTAAAACTTAATTGGTATAATTTAAAATATTATTTTATTTTATAAAATCATAAATACAAAATTTTAAATCTTCAAAACTAATTTTAATTTTTTTCTAAAATATAGGGAAGAATTTCGTAATTTAATTATAAAAAAAACTTACGTTATGTTTTTATTTTTATTTTTATGTATATTTCCTTCCCTCAAATGATAATGATTGTTTTGGTCATCTTATAATTAAATTTGAAAAAATAATAAAATATTAAATAATAATGCCTTAGTTTAAAAAACATTAAATTTTATATCTTAATTAATTGAATAAATTTTATATATTATATTTTAATATTCTTTACTTTATAATTTGATTTATATATATTTTATTTTATTCTCAATATTTAATTAATTTATATTTTCGTTATTTAGTTCATATTCTATTTAAAGGTTACGATATCAATAAGAATTAACACTTTAATCCCAATTCGATTTCTCGAAAAAATATATATATATAGTTTGAATCAATTCAAACAACCCAAATAAATTTGAATCAATCTAATTCTCATGAAAGCAAATAAAATAAAGGTTGAAAATCCAATAAATTTTTATCAAAATAAGGACAACAAACAACACAATATTAAATACAAAATAAAATCTTGTTCAAGTTTATTACGGGAAAAAGGGCTCATAATGCAATTACGGAACGAAATAAAAAATATTCAAATACGAAAGTTGATTGACGCTCCGAAATGATCCTCTCTATGAATGCATAGCTCTCGCTCGTCTACCTATTTTTATATATAAATATATCGAGCAAACAACCTTGTAGCCTCTTTATCATATATGTGACCTAACATAGAATTTATGATTGATAAATTATTTTCTAAAATATTGAATGTGTTGTCGTTCTCTCGTTGTTACTAAATGAAGTAGGTGAGTCTTTCCTAACAAATTTCAAATTCAATTCAACCTATGGAAGAGATAAGAATTGAAATGTACTACACATATTTATTGTAACATATGATAATAGCAAAATTAATAATAAAAACAACACTAATGTATTAATATGTTCTCCCCTATAAATACTTGTTCGATGTATGCTCTCTTTACTGCAAGAATTGAGAAGCATAGTGCTTAAGATTCTTAGTACAAAAAAACTCTCCCCTCAAGTTGTTCTTTCTACTTCATTTATTTGTTTCGATATATTTCGATCGCAGGTCAAAATTAATAGATTGTGGGTTATCATCGCAGTGTTAGGATTCTTTGTGTATGAATTGGTGACTATCATCGCAGTGTTAGCCAAGATTGTGTTGCGCACAACCAGCTATGAGACTGCGACCTTTGGAAACACCTACATAGTATAAACGAGTTGGGATTTCTAGCATCGAGTTGAATTAGGGTTCGTTCCGAAAGGATTCATGGTTGGTTAGTTATAGTCTAACTCATGAGTTTACAGCTAAATGTTTTTCTCTAACACTATGAGTTTACAGCTTGCATGTTCTTGTTCTTCCGCTTTAATGATGACATTATTGTGTAATTGGTAACGAAACTTAGACGGTCTAAATTTTTCGAAAGTTGAGTTGTTATGAATGGATAGAGATCCACAACTTGCCCTCCGATGTACTATTTATCTCTCTCTCCCACTGAAAATATCAGAACAACAACATAACTAAGAAATCTTTCGATGTAATAAAAAAATGTTACATAATTCATTTCAAATTAAGACATGACATGACAGATACGTTTACCTTGAACTAACATCCAACAATTATTAAAAACAGCGGCCGCCCATAATTTCTCCTCCCCACCTTCCTTTTTGTTTCATACATCATCATAAATGAGTGAGTATGAGTGTGTTTATATACCTTCTTAGCTCAAAAAGAAAGGGACACAAACTTAGGGTTTTGTTGATTGAAAGGAAGAACAATGAACAAACCCTAATATCAACAAAGAAGATGAGAGAATTGAAAGAGATGACAGAAGAGAGTGAGCACACACTCCGAGCAATTGTATGAAAAAAGTTCATACCTTTACTAGTGTGTGTTCATGTCTCTTTCCGTCAGCCTTCTCTTTCCCATTCTCTCTCTCTTCCGTCTGCTTTAGATGTCAGATCCTACATCGGTTGGAGGGGAACGAGGTATTGTTTGTAAGGTGTAGAAATCTCTCCATACCGACACAGTTTGAAACTTGATGTTGACGGAGATACATAATGGGCCAAAGCAGACAATATCTGCTAGCGGTGAGCTTGGACTGTTACAAATGGTATTAGAATCAGACACTGAACGGTGTGCCAGCGAGGACGCTAGGCACCGAAGGGGGGTGGATTGTGAGATCCTACACCGGTTGGGGAGAAGAACGAAGCATTCTTTATAAGGGTGTGGAAACCTCTCTCCAACATACAGTGTTTTAAAATCATGAGGTTCACGGCAATACGTAATGGGCCAAAGCGGACAGTATTTACTAACGGTGGGCTTGGGCTGTTACAAATGGTATCATAGCCAGACACCGAGTGGTGTGTAGCGAGGACGTTGAGCACCAAATGGGGGATGGATTATGAGATACTACATCGGTTGGGGAGAAGAAGAAACCATTCTTTATAAGTGTGTGGAAACCTCTCCCTAATAGACGCGTTTTAAAATCATGAGGTTAACGGGAATATGTAACGGGCCAAAGTGGACAGTATCTGCTAACGGTGGGCTTTGACTATTATAAATGGTATCATAGTCAGATACCGAGTGGTGTGCTAGCGAGGACGCTGGACACCGAAAGGGAATGGATTGTGAGATCTTACGTCGATTGTGAGATCCTATATTAGGTTAGATTCATTTGTGATATGTTCTGGTTTGTGTTAAGTTTTTTTTGTTGAAGGATTTGGAGCTGTTGGATTGCAATTTAGAAGGAAAGATTCTCCATATGGTGCTCTTCCTAAATCAGGAAGGTATGTTGTACTTTTTTTCTTTTTTGCAATCGGGTTCCTCGCTTTCGGTTTGGTCCTTTAGACAAGGCTCTTAGATGGTTTCTTTATAGTTCACGAATTCGTAGTTAATTGACTCTTACTTATTTGATTGTAGTTCATGCCCACTCGTGAACCCTATCTGTAGTAGGCTTAGTAGGGCTCGAACCTACAATATGACCGTTATGATTGTTACGTTTCAACCAATAAAACTGTAAGTGGGTAGTAGGCCGTGTAGGATTCAAGTATTGGTTCTTTTTATTATGTTGGATGATTTTGGATATTTTCATGATTGGTTTTAGATACTTAAACAAGTTAATTTTGAGCGTTTTCTTATTTATTAGTTGATTTGTATTCTAAATTTTAGCTTGTTTATGATATCTACTCTCTTTTATTCTTTGGGAAAGAAATAGTATCATCATTGCTAAAAACGAGATGATTATCATTACAAGAATTTGGAGTTTTCGTGACACCATAAAGTATAAGAAAAAAAAAATGGACAAAAAGAAGTGATTGAAAGGGGTCGTCAAAAGAATCTCGTTGGGAGTTTGCGGCATTATGTTGGCATAGGTAGAGTCGATTACGGCTTTGTTGGGAGATTGTTTCTTCTGATGATTGGTTGAAATTGAAGCCATTTACGTTGAAAGCCATAAAGTTGGTATCTAAAGTACTGAATTAGATACCTACTACTGGCCAAGCAAAGCAGCTAAGAAAAAATGTAAAGAACGAGAGGGGTTGAAACTAACATGAGCACTTACCGATATAATAAATTTCTTCCTATTGATAAAATATGCCATCTTCGTTAGCAGATTCTATTTTGTAGGGTTTCTCTAATCAAACTAGAAGGTTTCAAAGAACCAGATTACTAGATTATTTGATTCCAACTAGATATATCATCGAATTGAATCGAACACATTTGACCATAGAAATGAATGGGTTTTGAATAGTAAGCGTAAAGGCGTTGCCAAAATCGAGATATCTATGGATGAAAGTGTTCATATCTTTGGAGAATTGGTCCACATCTCCAAGCTGAAAAGAGAGTTAGTTGTGTGGGGCTAAAAACTTACTTGAAGTCCTTTACTATCCAACCGATGTAGGACTTCAAAGCCTCACAATGCACCTCCATGGAACCAATGTGAGGGGTTTATTAGGGAGAAGTTTTTACATTTCAAAAGGAATATTTTGTTCTCCTCTCCTATCATAGGACCTTACAATCTAACCTTTGGGGTCAAAGTTCTCGCTGGCACACCCTCACAATCCAACCACTAGAGGCCAGCGTCCTCACTAGTACACCCTGACAATCCAACCTCAGGGGCTGCGTCTTCACTCTGGGGGTAGCATCCTCATTGGCACACCATGTAACAAACCAATTGTAACGACTCAAGCAAATCCATTGCTAGATATTCTCTGCTTTTGTCCATTAGGTAGTCATCCAACGAGCTTTTAAATACGTAGGATACCCACTCAAATAATTAAGACATAAGAGTCATCCAACGAGCTCTCTATAGTTCAGAGTTCGATGCATAAGTGTCAAATGGAATTGATTACGAAAAGAATGAAAATTTGAGTTGGGAGAAAAAGAAACTCACACATTCTTTCAAGGGACTGAAAGATCAAGCGTAACAAGAAAATAAGGGTTGTCATGATCCAGAAATAAACAACACGAAACACAAATCCCCACATCAAATGAAACAAAAAGCGAACGATCCATACATTCATCACAATCATCAAAAGCACCAATAGCAATAATAATTATTTCATTAGATAACCGAAACAAAATCCAATCACAGTCTTCGTGAATCCTTCGATTTCCAATCTGATAATAATCAGGTTCTTCAAGCTGGGGTCGAATTCCCAGTCGGAGATGTCCAAACAATGTCCTTCAACGCCGGCCGAAGCTCCTTCCTACAGAACTGGTTGTACTCCAACGTATCTCCGTTGTCCTTCTTTACCTCCACCACCACAAACGACGGCGTCAAGGCGAAGATATCCGCCGCAATTGCAAGTTTCCCCTTCCTCCCCTTTTCTTGCCCCTGCAATCGAACCCATGATTCGCTCTTCTTCACATCGAACTTCAC